AGGCAAAAGGGGGCCCAACCCGTTACTAGCGTGGTGTACCTAATAAAGTGGCCGGTGAGTGTATATGTATGGGTATGTGTATATTTTTATATATGCCCTCCAAATATTTATCATTTATTTTTCAGGTGAGCGGACAGATGTTTGGTGTGTGGTCCTGTGTTTTGTTGGTGTATATTTAATATACTTCTAATCGCTATTTCAATCTTTGTTTCTTTCTAATCACTTCTCTCTGTTTTTCTCTCTGTCTCTATTTTCTCTTGACTTGTCAAAAAAAGATCTCTACCCACTTTGAGACGCCCAGAACACCTCCATATGGAGGTGTTTAGTTGTTGAACCACCTCAWCTGGTTCCTTGAGCAGCAGCTCTATGACGAGCCCCCAACAGATAACTRAACTTCTCACYYTAAAGGGAGAGTCCAGCTTCCCTTTAGAAATCTCACTCTTTCAATCACAACCCAGAGTTCTTGACCACACGTAAACAAAACCCTAAGATATTTGTACTCCTCCTCTTGAGGAACAACCTCACATTTTAAGAGTTTGTTGGCGAAAGCAAAAATGAAAGGTTATCATTCTGAAATGCTCCTCGTAGAGTCTCTTTTTGTAAAGTGTTTTTAAATTCCCCTTTTGTTCTGATGCACCAGGAAGGAACCGTGCACGTCATCTACGGGGTGTTGGATCAACCGATCGCCTCTCTTGAAGAACTGGACCTGTCCAGGATCCACACGGGGGTGCAAAGAGTGCTGATGCTGCGTCCCGACACGCACTCCCCCACTCTGCCTCCGGACGCTCAGACCTTGGACGTCTTGGCGCCAAACGTCGTCATACCGACCCAAGAAACCACCTACTGGTGCTTCATCCAAAAGCTGCCCGAAAATATCCCCAAGAACCACATCGTGATGGTAAATCCTGAGTTTAAGTGGGTCATTTTAACCCAAGGGCAGCAGGAGGGTTTAAAGTGAACACACAATTAAGCCTGTAGCAAAAATCTACAGATCAATTAATTGGATGATAAATTAAAATGAGATAGTTTCCATTTGTCTGCTTGGTTTTTTTGTATTGTATTTTTTTTAAAAGAAATTTTAGCTTTTAGACTTCGTTATCTGTTTGCTTTACTGTTTCAGTTGTGCTTTTTATCTAAGTGCATTTTTTTGAGACTGAGAGTCCATTTTATTAATTTTTTTAGTATTTTGGATATTTAAAATGTGTAGTTCCAGTGTTATATGTACTTTAGACATTAAAGTTTATTCATCTTTAAGAGGATGTATTTGAATCATCATTATATTAGCTTAAAATGTTCTCCAAACACTATTATCATTTATCACAATAATTTCTGAGACAATTTATTGTCCAGCAAAATTTGTAAACATGACCRGCCTCCTTTAATTTATGAGGCGTCTCAGGACTGCTGGCAATAACAACATCTGCAAATAAAAAACACTTTTCACCCTTTTCTCTCTGTTCCTGTCAGTATGAGTCTGTGATAACCGCAGGCAACGAGGCCATCGTGCATCACATCGAAGTGTTTGAATGTGCACCGGAGATGAGCGAAGTGCCTCAGTACAGCGGCTCCTGCGACGACAAGATGAAGCCCAGAAAGCTGAACTTCTGCCGTCACGTGCTGGCTGCCTGGGCCATGGGGGCAGAGGTATGAAAACCTTCCACCCACAATCCTTGCAGCCCTGATTTATGTCGCAGAACAACTCAATTCAAAACGCAAACCACKTGCAACAGGAAAACAATGAAACGAYGAGRCCGATTAWAAYGCGAGGAGACAAGTGTTTTGATCAAAAATAGCACGAACCTAATTGAAAAAGAAGCACCGGGATGGAGCTTGACTCCGCTCCAGACCTTGCACTTATTAAACGAGACAAACAAAAAGCTCCCACGCAGACTATAACRAACCCTGAAACTGCGAGCTTTAAAGGTTTTGTAACGATGGTCCCACCACGCAGCGAGTCTATTAACAGACAGTCTGTATGTGGGATGCACAGAAAACCACAAATATCCTCACAAATACCCACAAACGAAAGCCGCATGTTAGGAGAAAATAGAACAAGATGCTTTATAGGAAACACAAAATGGCTGCTCAAAGATTTGTTTCTTTTTCCTGTTCGTCTTTTTAGGCTTTTCAGCTATTTTGTTGCTTTTTGCGACTCCTCCTTGTGGATAACGCCCATTCAGATGGTTTGCTCTCAGAAACAAATTAAACTAATTACACTGTTGTGACCTTAATTTAATAAGTGCTTCGAGTCTTTTAATTAAAGCGGCACAAACCTCGCAGAAAAACCAATTTGAGATGTTAACTAGACCGGTGCAGTTTGAAACTCCAGTTTGATGAGAAAGTAGACAAAAACCAGCAGCTTCATGGAGAACAAAACCAACAGATTGGTGTTTAAAACTAACAAACGTCACAGAATCCCTCACTGGTTTGCAGGTTAAATTCCTTTTTCTGTTTTTGGTCTTTTCACAGTGAAAAGTTTGGTTTTCACTGTTAATGTCACCAGAAAAACACCTGTGTTTGATTTATTATTGTTTGCATGGATGTGGGTGTGCGCTTGCAGGCGTTTTACTATCCCCCCGATGCTGGGCTGGCTATGGGTGGACCCGGTTCCTCGAGGTTCCTTCGTCTGGAAGTTCATTATCACAACCCTCTGCTTATATCTGGTAGATACTGACACATTCAGACAGTCACTCAGCAAAACACCAACAGCAGAAACTTCTTTGTCTCTCAAAACCTCAAATCAGTTAAAGGGGACATATCATGCAAATCTCATTTTTTAGCTGTTAAATACATTTTGCTGTGTATTTAGCATCTCTAGGAGTGCAGAAAAGTCTAATTTAGTTTCCATGTGGATAATTTTATATTCTGTTTGGGTCATATTTTTCAACCTGTTTAGTTTTTCTCTATTTTGACATTTTCTGAACTATTACATCACAGAATTTCTGGACTTACCAGCTACAATTTCATCGTCTTCACTCTCTGGCTCTGGGTCAGATTCTGGCTCCAACATGTAAGGCTGGATGAACAAGCCTTCTCTTGTTGACATCTTTTAATTAGTTTGTAAATACATAGTTTCTGCGCTGCTATATAGTTGTAAACCCCTCTGTCAAACTAGAATGGACCGGTTTGGAAGCTGGAGAGGGGTTTGATTGTTTGAATTTAAAATTCAAATCCATTCAAAAATACTTTATTGATCCCAGAGGGAAAAAGGCACAGTGTGTAGGATTTTGTCAATTCTTTTAGCAGAAATTGAGATAATCACTAATGACAATAA